CCAAATGAAGGCTGAGCATGATAGTGGGACAAGAGGAAAGTAAAAGGAAATAGAGGAAAGAACTAGGTGACAAAGGGCATTTATAGAGGTCTAAAGACTGGAATGTACATATGTAAATATATTTGTATAAGAGTATGGGGAAACAGATCTCCATGCATATATTTATAGGTTTAATATTAAAGCAGGAGATGGATATTGGGCCTCCACTCAAGCACTTACTCAATGCAAGAACGCGTAGTTCCATTAAATTGGCATTCCAGGATGCACACCTTCCCAACACGATTGCTGAAGAAAAATGTGTGCATAAGCAAAGGTGGTAAAGAAAGCTCATGGTGCCGGCTAGATGGCCACTTGTTCATCTTCAAGCCTTTAAGACCCTAGAGGCTATATCTTTTGCTAGCCAAGCACCATCATCTTTCTTCACCACATTTGCTTATGCACCCACTGATATGATTTTTAGTTCTTTAATGTCTGATAACTGGTCCCTTCGACAGCTCGTGGTCACACAGGCTGGTGTGCTTCTTCCATGTGGGCGTTGTTGCTTCTGAGCTAGATGGCCGCTTGTTTATCTTCAAGCCCTCAGGCCCCTCCACTGCCTCCCCACTCCTTGCTGGCACGCTGCATTAGTGCAGGCAAGAAGCACACCAGCCTGTGTGACCATGAGCTGTCCAAGGTATCAGGTATCAGGCATCAAAGAACAAAAAAATCATATCATTGTAAAGGTGGGTGAGTGCAGAGTGGAGACGCAAAGCCAATCGGTAGGCAACTGGACACCCCCTTACCTGCCCGACCCAGAGATGTGGGTCCCTTTGTGTTCAGCCAATCATAAGAGAAATCCTTGACAGGTTATCACCAAGCCTAACCAAGTTTTTAAGAGTTTCAAAAGCAGTCTAGTACTGTTACAAAGCTCCAATATAACTGGTAGAATCAGATGCAAATGACCGATGGTGAAGCACGCTTTCTTTTTTTGTTTTGTTTTTAATTATTTTATTGGTTCATACAATTCTTATCACAATCTATACATACATCCATTGTGTCAAGCACATATGTACATTTGTTGCCCTCATGCTCTGACCCCAGAGTCTTCCTTTGTACTCCCTCAGGGGCTCCTTCTTCTGCTCCCACAGTTGCTCTGCAGCACACTTTTAGTGGTTTGCCTCAGGTGTCTCAGGGTCAGTCTGGGCCAGTCCCGACACTGAGTCTCCAGTGTTGTCCCTCTTAGGGCCCTGGGCCAGCAGGGGACGACGTGTCTCATAGTGGGATCAGCCATATTGTCCACTCTGTCCATAGGCTGTTCAGAGCAGGGATGTGGTCCTCCAGGCCTGGTGGACCAGGATGTGCCCCACTCTCTCTTCCTCCCCCTTAAGTGCTCCCATTTGCTCTGATCAGACATGCCCCTCTCCCCTAGCTGCAGCTTCAGTGCCGCACTCTCAAGTAAATTCTTCTGGGGGGAGGGGCAGTTGTCCACTTACTGGTATGGGGGCCGAGCCCTCAGGCCCCTGGACTGGCTCCCCACTCCTTGCATGCACGCTGCATTCTTCTGGCACTGGCTTTAAATCTGGTCCCTCTTTCCCTGTGGAGACACAAACAATACCCTCCCCTTGGGTGGGTCAGTGTCCTATACACCTGCCACACATCATTTTTTTTTTCCTTTCCCCTTTTCTCCCTATTTTTTCCTTTCCCCTTTTCTCCCTCCTCCCCCTTTTTAGTTGACTACCATATGTACCCCCTGGATTTGGCCTGGCCCCTGCCATACTACCTGGACCTTACTCCTGGAGTGTTTGTATACAGTAGCTTTTTCCCTGGG